TCAACATTTATTAAGCACCTACTATGTGCCAGGCACTGGGCTGAGCTCTGGGGGATACAATTAATAAAAAGATACACTATCCCTTTCCTCAGGGAGCTTACATTCCAAAGGGGGAGACAGCAGGAAAGCAAAATGTCTTTAAGTGCATAGATAAAATACATAGTATTGTAAAGGAAACCAATTATATTGATAGTTATTAAAATATTTTAAAAAACAAATCCACAGACCTCCAGTTAAGAGCTCCTGTCTCAGATTTACCTAAATTCTAGATTCGAGAGCACTGAGAGGATATGTAAGTAATACAGAATACATAGGTATATATGTGTATATATATATATATATATGTATTATATATATGTGTATATACAAAATATATGTATATATATGTATGTGTGTCACACACACACACACACACACACAGCAAGTAGGTGGCTCTATGGATAGTGTGCCGATCCTGGAGTCAGGAAGACCTGAGTTCAAATCCAACCTCAGACACTTCCTAGCTGTGTGACCCTGGGCAAGTCACTTCACCCGGTTTGCCTCAGTTCCTCATCCATAAAATGAGCTAAAGAAGGAAATGGAAAACCACTCCAGTATATTTGCCAAGAAGACCTCAAATGGGGTTGTGAAGAGTATAGGACATGACTGAAAGGACTCAACAACATATATACATATGTGTATGTATATAAAAAAAAAGTATCCCCCTTAACACAGCTCAACAAGTATTCGTCGATTTGATTTTGCATGAATAAGAGCCACCTGGTATACAAGTGCAGGTCTTTCAGCTTGCCTTTCTCTTTGGAAGGTTTCTATTTTAGTTCAGAGATCAGTCTAGTAAGTTCCTGGTCCCAAAACAGAGACTATCTCTTAGTGTGAGAGATTAATCTTCTCTTTCTCTCTGCTAAATCCTTCAGTCTCGGCAGGGACTGGCATCAAGAAGAGCAAACGGAGCTTGTCACTTTTCACATTCGTCACTTGATAAGCCCAGGCTGACTCTGAGCTGGACTTGAAAGGTGTTGAGGAGGAAGCCAAGTCTAAATTGGCTGCTGCTCCAGCTACCACTGACAACCAGTTTGCCCGGTCACTTGTCTTTCTCCTTGCTGTAGCCACTTTCTTTTACAGCTGTTTCTAAAACAAAAAACAAACAAACAAAGGGGAAAAAGCAAAACCCAGAAAACAAACAAACAAAGAAACAAACAAAACCCAACAAAAACAAAAAACCCCAAACTTATTTCCCAAGGTTGTGGCTAAGTTGCTTTACTGTCTTTCCTCCATTTCACCTCTTAATAAGGAGAAAGCTTAATCATTTGTTCTAACCTCCACACTTGCTCCTTGGTTATTTCTTTTCTTTCTTTCTTTTTTTTTTTTTAACTCTTTTTATTTAGGCAATGGGGTTAAGTGACTTGCCTAGGGTCACACAGCTAGTAAGTGTTATGTGCCTGAGGTTGAATTTGAACTCAGATCCTCCTGAATAAGATCCTCCTGAATCCAGGGTTGGTGCTCTATCCACTGTGCCACCTAGCTGCCCCCCTGCTCCTTCATTATTTCTTGCAGTTCAATGGGGCTGGAGGGTAGTACACATACATGAGGCAATGTAGGACAGAAGAACTCTAGATTTAGTATCAGGGGACCTGGGTCAGAATCCCAGTTCTCTGATCTTAGACAAGGTACTTCATCCCTGAGTTATGGTTTATTACTCTGTAAAAAGTAAATGGTTGAATGATACGATCTTTAGTTCCCTTCTGAATCTTTTGTATAATTTTGGGATTACACATTTTCTCAAAACCCCAGCCTATTCATTCATTTAACATGGATTTATTGAGTCCATAATAGGTGTCCTATACAATGTGGAATATAAAAAATAAGGTTTTTTCTCCCCTTAGGAATTTTACAGTCTAGTTGGGGAGACAAGATATACACATAAACCTGAAAACATTTCTATAACTGAAGTCTCTGATGAATGCCAAACTAAGTGGTACAGACAGTAGGTGCTTACATGAAGACAGAGGGATGACTGGAGGCTTGAGTGATTGGGAAAGGTTTTTAAAATCTTATTTTTATTGATATGCCTTCATTTCTCAATATATCCTCTCTCTCTCTCTCTCTCTCTCTCTCTCTCTCTCTCTCTCTCTCTCTCTCTCTCTCTCTCTCTCTCTCTCTCTCTCCTGAACCAGTGACATTCTCTGAAACAAAGATTTAAAGAGAGTGAGAGAAAGCAGTAAAGTTAAGCTCACCAATTACGTCTGATTATATGTAACACCCTACACTCATGGTTCATCCTTTGCCATCTTGGCACGCAAGGGAGGGCAGTGAAATTTCTCAACTCTTCTCTGGGCCAAGCTTGGTCATTAATAATTAAAGGATTGTTTCTTTTTTTTTTTTTCCATTTACATTATTGTAGTCATTGCACATATTGCTTTCCTGGTTCTTCTAATTCACTCAGCACTAGTCTTTCTATGTTTTTTTGAATTCCTCATGTTGATAGTTTCTTATGGCACAGTAATATTTCATTACATTCATGCATCACAATTTGTTTAACCATTCCCCAATTGGTGATTTACCTTGCTTCCAATTCTTTGCTACCACAAGAAGGGTTGCTAGAATAGTTTGGTTTATAGGGTACCCTCCTTAGGGATATACCCCACCAGTGGGATTTCCAGGTCAAAGAGTATATGGACATTTTAGTCACTATATTGTGATTATTATTGCATAATTCCAAATTTCTTTCCAAAATGGTTGTATTGATTCACAGATCCTCCAACAATGCACCAATGTTTCTATCTTCTCAAAACCTCTCCAACATTGACTACGCTTTCTTCTCTTTTTTAATTTTTCTTAATTTTATTCTCATCTTTATTAAACAGTTACAGATGAGCCAAAAGCATACCTATTTTATTTTATTTTTAATTTATGCAATAAAACAATAATTTCTATAACAGTATAATAAAAAAGATTATTGCACATGAAACTGCAAATCTATTATGTATAACTTGCTATTCCTTTTAAATATATAATAAAGTTACCATGTAGATTTTTTTTTCTTCCTTCAAACCCCACCCACTCACCCTAGAGATGGCCACCAGGAGACACAAATAGGTGTATATATGTAAAATTATTCTATACATACTTCTGTTTATCAGTTCTTTTTAAAAAATATCTTTCTTCATATGTCCTTTATCGTTAATTTGGGTATTTATAATAGTCAAAATGTTGTTGTTGTTATTTGTCTTTTGTTTTTGAAGAGGACTGGCATCAGGAAGGTGATGCCACCATTAGCAAGTGGACTGGATTTAAGTGAGGGAGGGCTGTGCAAAGTCACCAGCCTCACTTTCTCTTCTGGAGCCATCTGGGCCCAATGGCAAGATACAGATCAGGACAACTGGAGATGGCCCCTTATTTGCTCAAAGTCATTCTTTTTTTTGTGTGTGTGTGTGAAGCAATCAGGGTTAATAAGTGACTTGCCCAGGGTCACACAGCTAGTAACTGTCAAGAGGCCAAATTTGAATTCAGGTCCTCCTGACTCCAAGGCCAGAGCTCTATCCACTGCGCAACCTAGCTGCCCCTTAAAGTTGTTCTTGAAACAACATTGCTGTTATCGTATACAATGTTGTCTTGGTTCTGCTTGTTTCATACTTCATTATTTCATTCAAATCTTTCCATGTTTTTCTAAGATCATCAAGCTCATCATTTCTTACAGCACAGCAGTATTCCATCACAATCATATACCACAACTATGCTTTTAAGAATGGTTGGATCAATTCACAGCCCCACCAACAGCGTTTCGGTATTCCTTTCTAGGAAAGGTTTGCTGGATAAGGTGGGATTTAAGCTGGATCTTAAAGAATGGGTTGACCTCAGACAGATGTAAAAGGCATGCAAAGGGCAATAGTAGAGATAGGAATAAACTTGGCATATTCATGGGACAGTGTGATGGTACCAGCTGTTCAGAAGAAGAAAGTTCACACCAGGGAGCAGTGAGAAATGAGGCAAGAAAGTTAGATTTGAACCCTGTTGGGTGAGTCTTGAATGCTACTCTAAGGAATTTGGACTTGAAGGCTGTAGAGTGCCACTCAAGGCTTTTGAGTAGGAAAATGACATGACAGAAGTGTTTTAGGAAGATTGCTCTGGCATCAGAGGACAGGATGGAAGGGGGATCTAGGTCTCCTGGATCACTTCCTTCCTTTTCAGGCCCTTTGCTTTTCTCCTCCCTAAAGTGAATTGGGGGATACTGGCAGCAGAAAGTGACAGGGCTGGGCACATAGTCAATAAGTATTCATTTATTCATTTATTTTTGCTTTTTGGTGAGGCAATCGGGGTTAAGTGACTTGCTCAGGATCACATAGCTAGTAAGTGTTAAGTGTCTGAGGCTGGATTTGAACTCAGGTCCTCCTGACTCCAAGGCCAGAGCTCTATTCACTGTGCCACCTAGCTGCCCAGAATAAGTATTTATTAAGAGTCTACTATGTGTTACGCACTGTACTAAGTGCTGGGGATACAAAGAAAGGGAAAAAACAAAACAAAACAAAACAAAACACAGTACCTGTTCTCAGAAAGCTCACAGACTAATGAGGAGATAACATACAAACAATTATGTACAAACAAGATATATATAGGATAAATTGGATATAGTTAACAAGAGAGTGAGCACTAGCATGACAGGGGATCAGGGAAATGCTTCTTATAGAAGATGGGATTTTATCTGGGACTTGAAGGAAGCCAGGGAAGCCAGACAATAGTGGATGGTGTGCTAATAGCAATCATTTCATCATCCCTCGCCTAAGAACCAGCTCATCAGATATGACTTGCTGGAACTTTGGGGTATTAATATTCCTTCATGGTTATTTTTGGATCTTGTTTCCCCCTTGAGTAGTTGCTAGTTGACTAACTTGACTGAGTCAGCAATCACAAGTCTTCCCAGTAGACTCATTCCCCTAGCATGATTCTCATTGCATTTCAGCGGGCCTAGCTTTAAGTGCCTAGGTCCAGCTGTGGGGCTGGGAGTGGGTAGCTAGAAAGAAGCTGACCCTTTTGGCTGCATGAAGGGACAGGTGGGCTGAAAGCTGAGACTCTAAAACATGATCTTGAGCACGGGGAGGGAGGTGGCTCGATTACAGTCCCTCACGGCAAACAGCATGACTTGCTCACTTTATATAGCCTGGAAAGCTCTATATAAGACGGAAATGCCCGGGGCTAGAGAGAGAGACATTATTGTGACTGCTGCTGCGATCATCACTGCCACCCTTGTACTGTCAGAGTTTCTCTCAAAGACCAAAGCTCTGTCTGTGCTTTGCACACTTCCTAGCTTGTACTTCCAATTTCCTCAGACCCTCTAAATCTTTTGAGGGCTCTTGGGGAGAGTTTACTTTCTCCCACGGCCTGCTAGGATGCGTTACTCAGTGCCAACCACCTCTGCCCACCGCAGTCGCTATAATCAGCGGCGCCTACATGCAGAGCGATGTGTCCGATTTCCCAATGATGTCCTGTTTTTGGATCACATCCGACAGGGTGACCTGCGACAGGTAGGGCGCTTCATCCGGACTGGAAAAGTCTCCCTGGATACCATCTATCCCTCAGGTGAGCAAAAGAGGTTCCCCTCCTTCACATTTCTTTAAAAAGTGAGTTATTGTTTCAAGACTGATTCCTTTTGCTGCTTTTGTCTATTTTTGCAGTCTGCCATACCCCAGATAATCTAGAAGAGAATTTTAGAACCCTAAAGGAAGTGAAGGGACCTGAAGCTACATCTACAGAGGAAGACCTTTTAACTTGTTATAAACAAACTGGGGTGTGTGTGTGTGTGTGTGTGTGTGTGTGTGTGTGTGTGTGTGTGTGTGTGTGTGTGAGACACACAGAGAGAGAGAGAGAGAGAGAGAGAGAGAGAGAGAGAGAGAGAGAGAGACAGATAACAGGTGCTCAGAGAGTTCTGAAGAGGCAGAGTAGGAGGTAACAAATCTAGACTTGGATTAGGGAGGGATTGCTCTGGGAACCACCCTGACACTGATTAGAGGCTTAGCCTGGCTCATAGGAGCACCAATTTAGAACTGGAAAGGACCTCAGAGGTCAACTAATCCAATCTGCTCTTTTTATAGATGGGCAGACTGAGGTCTAGAGAGATGACTTACCCAAGATCACACAATTAATTCGTTGAAGAGTTGGTTTCTCCTAGGATAGACAGGAAGAAAACCACGTGGGGTAGGGAGTTTGCTCTCAGCCCCAGCTCCTTTTTTTCTAATCTTCATCTTTCCAATCAATTCATCTATTGACTTCCTTAATGTTTCTCTCCTCCAGGTCTGGCCGCCCTGCATGAAGCAGTACTTTCTGGGAACCTGGAATGTGTGAAGCTGCTTGTCAAGTATGGGGCTGACATCCACCAGCGGGATGAAACAGGATGGACTGCATTGCACATGGCCTGCAGTGATGGCTACCCAGATATTGCCAGGTGAGGGGCCCAGGCAGGGGTAGGGACTCAGCTCTCCTTTTGGCTGCCAGTGGCAGACCTGGGACATGGTAATCCAACCCAAGGGCATCCTTTGGAGGGAGGAGCAGGATCTCAAATTAAAACTCAAAGTCCAGCTTCCCTAGCCACAAGTCTCATTTACCCACTCCTAGGAAAAGAGTGGGACGACCTCTCAATGACAGAACACTATGAACTTAAAGCTAACTACAGGGGACCTTTAAAGCTCCAACCCTATTGGGGAAACTATTGAGAGAATTAAGGTCCTTGAGGACAAGGGCTACTTTTTATTTTATTTTTGACACTTAACAAATGCTTGAATTGAACCGAACTGAACTAAGGCCCAAAGAGGTCAAGGAGACACTGGTCGTAAGTGGCAGAGCTGGCATTTTAACTGTCCTTCCAAGTGCAAATCCAGCCCTCATCCCACCATCCGGTGGTAGACAGCAGGACATGAGGCTGTGTCCAGGGATTTGGACCACAGACCTCTTTCTTTCTAGAGAAAGCCAAACCTGTAGGCTTGTCCCACTCACCCCTAGGCCCCTGGGTGCCCCCACCCCTTTACCGTTTTCCTTCCCACCTTAGATACCTCATTTCCCTGGGGGCTCACATAGACGTCGCCAATGACGACGGTGACTTGCCCTCCGACCTCATCGACCCCGACTACACGGATCTGGTGGAGCTATTCAAAGGGGCCACGATGGACTGACTTGCTGCCCACCTCCCTATGCTGAGCCCTCATTGTCCTCACCACCTTGCCCCCTCCCCCTGGAGACCCTGGACTTGAAGCGGGGTTTGGCGGGGAGGAGCCAGAGCAGGAGTTGAGAAGTGTGCTGGGGAAGTTCTGCTGTTTATTAAGCTCTCTCTCACAGGGTGCCCCCTCCCCAAGCCCCGCCCCGCCCAGGGCAACCTGGCCCGAGGCCCCGCATGCACCGGGGGGTGCACTAGACTGTGCCGCTGCAGGTACCCCCCAACCGCAGCCCCCCGCCCCGGGCTTGGGCGTCCTCCCTGTGCGCACGCCTAAACCCTGGCGGGAGGGACCCCCGACGGGGAGGCCAAGGTCAAGGAGGTCCGGGGCCCCAAGGAGGCGGGGGGGGGGGAGCGGTGCTTGCGGACTCCCACTGGGGGCAGGGGGCTGCGAGCTCCCCCCGACCCTCCCCGCCCCGGGCCCCACTTTTCCGTGCTGCCCCGCCCGGAGCTTGGCTTTTCTACAGGACGTTTTCGTGTTTTGTTTTTTTCAATCGTTGAATAATTTTTACTTTTTCAATAAATGTGATTTCCACAGACCACTGTTGCCTCTTTGCTCCGCCCCGCTCTTCCTGTCTCCCGAGTCCCGGGAGCTGGGAAGGTGGCCGCCCACACCAGCAACCCAACTGCAGTTCCTTCGAGATTCTACCCTTCCGCTCTCTGCCCCCAGGGGTCCGGGATGCAGGGGGAGGGGGGCGGAGCGTTTTGGGGGCGGGGCCTTCAGTTCCGACCACGCCCCCTCCAGCTAACCTCTGGGCCGAGGTTACTGTGGGGGCTACTGGTAGAGAGGCCCGCCCGGGCCAAACAATCACATGGGGGCTCTCCCCCCATCCTGCGCCTGCGCGGCCCCTCTGTCTCGTCACTTCCGGCCCGGGCCTCCCAGCTGGAAGCGGCTGCGGCGGTGGCGGTGTCTGAAACTGGGCGAGGTGAGGCGCCAGGGGGCGGCTAGGGGCCCGGGGCTGGGGGGCGGGACTGGGCTCGCGCCGGAAACCTGTGGGGATCGCCCCGCCCCTGACGCGGCCTGGGCCACGCCTCCTCCCTTTCTCCCCACCCCCTTATGTCACGATACGACCCCCCTCCGCATTGTCGCGACGCGACCGGCACGTCACGTCGGGAGGTGGGCCCGCCCCCTCCCACTGGAGGAGTCCTACCCCGTGACCTACACGAGTGTACCTGTCATGTTGTATAACCCCCTTACTGGGGGAGACGGGACCCCCACCCTGGGACGAGATAGTCATGTCGCGACTCCAGGGCATAGGCGATGTAGCGGGGTTTTCCAGAGTTTGGGTCGAGGGCCAGGAGTAGGACTGCCTCACTACAAGTTGGTGTGTGGAAGGGAATAGATGTACCTGGGGATCCTTTCCATTTGGTTGTCCCCTTCCCCCAGCCAGGTGTTAGGACCCTCTGCTGTCCACAGGAAATATCACCGGTTCCCTCCTCTTGCTGATGTAGAAGAGGGAGCCGGCCGGACCCAGGTTTTTCTCCCTGTCGGAGAGGTGCTAACTTCACACTTAGCTACTGCTGGGCTTTTCAGAATAGTGCAAAAGGGTGTGGAGAGGGTCGGCCTGACTTTCAGGGTAGAATAGGAAACTTGCCCGCAATAGCAGGTAATCCCTGAAGCCTGGGAGTGGGTTTCTCTTGAAAGCAGGTGCCTCCCAACTCCTTTGAGCCAGAAGAGCCTCCTCTTGTACTTGTCTTGTGGTATTATTGTATATTCATTGAGGAAGGAGGAAGAGCTACCAAATATGAATCTGGGACCAGTCTGATCTTAGAAGGGACCTTAGAAAAATCATGTAGACCAAATCCTTTTTTTACAGATGAGGAAAATAAGGGTCTAGTGACTTTGCTGAGAGTGCACATAATAAGTAGGGAATGGAATTGGACCCAGAAGTCAGCTTTAGTCCAATGGTTTTTTGTTTTTTTGGTTTTGCTGTGGGCAAACCCTGCTTTATCTGCTGTTATATGGTTTCTGTTGCCATGGTCACCAGGTAGTTTAACAAGTATGCCCTTTAAACTTCCTCATACTAAGGGAGATTTATCAGTGCCAGGTTGGTGATAGAGCTGAAATTGGAACTCCTAGTATTTAGTTGTTAAGATACCCTATTGGACTGTCACCCTTCCTCTCCCTTGGTGGCAGGAAGCAGCAACAAGGGGTTGAGAAATTTTCGAGTTTTACCTTTGGATCTCCAAGTGACTCCGAATTCAGCATCAACTTTCTGATAAAGTTAAGAGCTCTGTTGTTGCTGGAGTCTGAAGATTACCTTCTAGATTTAATCTGACTAGTTTAAACTGGAATGTTCAGAGGGCTGGAAACAGAATGATTTTATACATGTTTATTTCATATTACAAACCTTAAATCATATCAATATATATGAAAACTATATATTATATTTAATTATATAAATATGTATATGATAACTATATATGTATAGTTATATATATGATTTAAGGTTTGTAGTGTAACTTGTATACATTACTTCATTTGATGATAATAGCTAGTGTTTTATCATTTTCAAAGGGATGTTTACTCATTCAGTCCTCACAACAACCCTGGGAGGCAGGTGCTGTTATTATTTCCATTTTACAGATGAGGAAACTGAGGCAGGTAGGCGGTTAAGTGACTTGCCTAGGGTCACATAGCTGTCTGAGGCAGGATTTGTATTCAGGGCTATTTGGACACTTGTAAGTCCTTTGATCTGTCCTCCACCAACTACTCACCTATTTGATGCTCACAACAACTTTGTGAGGTAAGTAACTAAAGATATTATCCATTTTACATTGAGGAACCTGATATCTAGAGAGATTAAATGATCAGGAGAAGATACAGGCACGGGATTCAAATCTATATCTCTCCAGTCTTTGGGGCCTGCTTTCTTTCCATTACACCACTGCTGCATTCTACTTACTGAATATGAGAATCAAAGCATGAATTATTTGGGTGGGAATCAGGAAGCATTGATTCTACTTCCAGGGCTACCACTTGTCTGTCTTCTGCAAAACAGAAGATCCTTATTTTATCCTTAGAAAGCATTTTTGAACATGATTCAAGTTACTTGGATTTATCTCCCTGTTGTGACCTTACTCACTGTAGGATCTTGAAAATACTGCTTAATTACTTTGTACTTGGTTCTCCAGTAAAGTGGGAATGGACCAAATTTGCTTCTTTCTTTCTTAGGAGGTCTTGAGGTTATGAAAATATATATGAAGGCCTTTGAATATTTCAGTTCAAAAAACATTGCCAAGTTTCTACCAGGTGTAGGGCACTTTGCTAGATGCCAGGAGATTTAAAAAAAAGAAATCAAACATAGCTCTTGAGCTCAAGAAGATTATAGTTTAGTAAGGGAGACGAGATGTGTATTCAAATAACTATAATGCAAATTAACATGGGTTAGTGTACAGGAGAAATCCTTATTTAGTTCTAAGAATAGTTTGAGGAGGGAAAGGTCGTTCTGTCTAGGGGGATCAGGGAAAGATTCTTGGAAGGAGTGGGACTTGAAACAGATTTCAGTGGGAAGGTATTAATGGGAAAGAGAGTCCGTTTCAGGTATCAGGAACAGGATGTGGTGTGAGCCAAGATAGACAAGAGCAGAAAGAGAATAGAGGCTTCTGAGTACTTCATTTTATCTGGAGCTTAGAGTTTGTGAAGGAGGGTAGTGTTGATAAGGCAGCAAAGGTATTTTGGATTCATCATGGAGAGCTTTGATTACTGGGCAAATTTTATTCTGATAGCAAAAGGCAAAAACCACTGAAAGTATTGGAGCAAGGAGTGATGTGATCAGAGTAGGAGTACTTTAGGAAAGTTAAGTGGGCAGCAAGGTCATAGATGCTTGGGAGAGAGGATGACAGGAAAACCTATTGGGAAGCTCCCATACAGGTTCATAAATTTAAGGTTGGAAAAGACCTCGAGGTCATCTAGTGCAACCCCTTCCTTTTATACATGAGGAAACTGAGGTCCAGAGAGCTTAAGTGAATTGTCCAGGGTCACACAGAGAGTAAGTTTAAGAGGTGGGATTACGGAGGTGTGGATGAAAGGTAATAAAGGGCCTGAACTTGGATGGTAGCAGTAGGAATGAAAATAGATTTGAAAAATATTTCAATATTCAAATATTTCAGAGGTGGAACTGATAGGACTGTTTTGATGGTGAAGTAAAGAGAAAAGGCTTAGGACTTGGGTGTCTGTAGAATGTAAGCTAATTGAAGGCAGGGATTATTTTTGTCTTTGTGTCCTTGCGTATGTGATGAGTGCTTTAAAGTGTTTGTTGAACTGAACCAAGAAGATGGTGGTACCATTAAAAGAAAGAAGTTAGGAAGGAAATTAAGTTTAGGAGGGAAAATAATGGGCTTGTTTTTGAATATCATGAGTTTGAAATGTGGCTGGATATAAGTTGTAGATAGATATCTAGTAGCAGCTGGAATTTTAGGATTGAAACCCTGGGGAAAGTATTAAATAAATTCTTTTTACATCTGGACTGGTATAACATCTCTGGCACAAGAGATCAAATTACCCAGTCTCTACATAGTCACACTGATGTAGGTGAGTCTCAGTGCCTAAAGACCTGAAGAGTACTATAAAAAAGAGACACTGAAGGGTCAAGCTGTGGAACGATAGGTAGAGGCTTCTTCTAGCAGTTTTTTTGTTGTTGTTTCTTAAAGATGTGGCCGTATACAAGCCATGTAATTCTCTGAACCTTCAATTTTTAAAAAATTTTCTTTTTTATTGTCTAATTATCCAGCATTTCAATATACAAGGAATAAGGAAGAATAAGGATTGTATAAGAAACAACTTGTGTACAGTTTATTTTTAAAATAATTATTTATGAAATTGAATAAAGTAGTAACAAAACTCTTCTATTCATTTCCGTTTCTGCATTTTTTTATTTTTAAAAGTTTTATTAGTTCTCTTTTTGAAATATTTTAAAATGTTGTGTGCTAAGTACTGGGGATTCAAACACAAAGTGAAAAATACTGCCCTTATGGAGCTTATAGTTGTCTATGGAAGAACATGATTGAAAGCTTTCTTTTAGGAAGATTAATCTGATAGTAGTATTCAGGATGAATTGAGAGGATGGCTGAGGCACTAGACAGAGGGACTTGGGAAACTGTTGCAAAAGTCTAAGTTAAAGCTTCATAAGATCAGAAATGCTAAGAGTGGGAGGGCTCTTAGAGATCATCTAGTACCACCCCTGATTTTTACAGATGAGTAGACTGAGTGATAGGGGCCTGGACTGAGGTGGTAGGAGTAAGAATAAGCCAGGAGACTAAGGGTAAAGGTAATGTTGAAGGGAAGATTCATAGGGCTTGATGAAGAATGGATGTAGAGGGCAAGGGAGAGGGGGAAAAAATAGCAACATGGTTTTGAATCTGGGTAACTAGGAGAATGGTGGTGCCATAGTGGAACTGGTTTGGGAAAGAGGCAAATTTAGACATGTCATTTTATACCTTTTTGTTTTGTTAAAAAACAATTTTTTTAAGTGAACAAAGATCTACTTTTCCTCCCCCCAAATGCGTAGTCAAGCAAAATAAATTCCTGCATTGCCCATGTTCAAAAAATTTAAGTCTCATTCTGCAGGCTGAGTTCATCCCCTTTCTGTCAGGTAGTGGGCTTCATCATGGATCCCTCTGGAACCATAATTTATCATCCCATTGATCAGATTCTTAAGGCGGAATTGTTTGTTTTTATAGTGTTGTTGTTATTGTATAAATTACTTTCCTTGTTCTGCTTACTTCACTCTATTTCAGTTCATATAAACCTTCCTTGGTTTGTCCAAAACTGTCTTTGGCAAATAGTATTCCATTATACTCATATACTATTATTTGTTCAGCCATTCCATAATTGATGGGCAGCCCTTAGTTTCTAGTTCTATCACAAAAAGAGCTACTGTAATTATTTTTGTACCTATAGGTCTCTTTTTCCTTCTTTGCTTTT